CAAGCTCCGACCGCATGGTGCTAAGTTCTTCAAGACCCACCGCAGAAGAACACAAAAACTCTCCGATCACACTCTTAATCTCATGGCTGTTAGACGGGAGATGAAGCTACATTCCTCAACAGACAACGCTCTCTTGAAGAACTACAGACCGATTTCCCTTCTGAGCCGCGTCTACGTGCTCTTTTCGAGAGTCATTACGAATCGTCTCGCACGCAGACTTGACGACTTCCAGCCTCCTGAACAAGCCGGTTTCTGAAAAGACTTTAGTACCATAGACCACATACACACCCTTCGGCAAATTATACAGAAGACAGAGGAGTATAATCTGCCACTTTGCCTTCCGTATGTGGACTATGAGAAAGCCTTTGATTCCGTCGAAATTTGGGCGGTGCTGCAGTCCCTTCAGCGGTGCCAAGTTGACTGTCGGTATATCGAAGTGCTGAAGTGTTTGTACAGTAGAGCTACGATGGCTATCCGAGTACAGAATCAGAGTACGAGACCTATCCAACTGCAGATAGGTGTAAGACAGGGTGATGTTATATCCCCGAAACTCTTCACCGCTGCATTGGAAGACGTTTTCAAGCTGCTGGACTGGAAAGGATGCGGTATCAACATCAATGGCGAGTACATCACTCACCTTCGATTTGCCGACGATATAGTCCTTATGGCAGAATCGCTGGAGGACCTAAGCACTATGCTCAATAACCTCAGTAGTGTATCCCAACGGATAGGTCTTCGGATGAACATGGACAAAACAAAAATCATGTTTAATGTCCATGTCACACCTATGCCGGTAGTTGTTGGGAGCACTAAGCTCGAAGTTGTTGACGAGTATGTTTACCTGGTACAAATAGTCCGACTAGGTAAGTCCAACTTCGACCGAGAAGTCAATCGACGGATTCAACTCGGCTGGGCAGCGTTCGGGAAACTACGACACATCTTCTCGTTAGACATGCCTCAAAACCTTAAAACGAAATTGTACAACCAGTGCGTGTTGCCAGTGATGACTTACGGATCTGAGACGTGGTCCTTCACTGCTGGCCGTATGAAGAAGCTCAAGGTCGCTCAGCGAGCTATGGAGAGGGCTATGCTCGTGGTTTCTCTGCGTGATAAACTTAGGATAATATATAATGTGATAAATGAGGATATCCGCAGTAGAACCAGAGTAACCCACATAGCCCAACGGCTTAGTAAGCTGAAGTGCAGTGGGCCGGCCATATAGCTCGACGAACCGACAACCAATGGGGAAGAAAGGTTCTTGAGTGGCAGCCTCGTACCGGTAGGCGAAGTGTAGGGCGACCCCCCACGAGATGGAGTGACGACCTAGTAAGACATGCAGGAAGTAGATGGATGCAGGTGGCTCAGGGCCGTGCTTTGTGGCATTCCTTGGGGGAGGCCTATGTTCAGCAGTGGACTTGTGAAAGGCTGTAATGATGATGATCAATTAAACAAATTTCATCCTTAGGTTGGGCCCCCTTATTGTAATTTTTTTTTATAGAAGAGGGGGCAAACCAGCATGCGGCTCACCTGATGGTAAGTGACTACCGCCGCCCATGAACAACTGCAACACCAGTGGAATGGTAGATGCGTTGCCAGCCTTTTAGAAAGCTGTAAGCTCTTTTCTTGAAGGTCCCTAAGTCGTATAGGTCCGGAAAAATCGCCGGTGGTAAACAATTCCACAGAGAAGTTGAGCGAGGAAGAAAACTCCTAGTAAAATGCACAGTCGTGGACCGCCAAGCATCCATATGGTGAGGATGGTATCGGGAATTTTGACGCGATGTGCGTTCGTGAAATTTGGCGGCTGGAATTAATCCGAACAATTCATCAGAGCACTCCCCGTGGTAAATTCGATAGAAAATGCAAAGGGATGAAACATCCCTACGCAGTGCCAGTGTATCGAGCCGATCAGAAAGAACTCGGTCGTCGATGAATCCAACCGCTCTGCGCTGGATGCGGTCAAGTGGAAGGAGCTGACACTGGGGTGCCTCGGCCCAAAGATGAGAACAGTATTCCATGTGAGGCCGGATTTGCGCTTTGTAAAGTTGCAAGCGATGTGCCGGCATGAAATACTGCCTCGCTCAGCTGAGCACGCCAAGCTTTGTTTTTTGCTTTTCTAATTTAATAATTAATATTTTTTTAATTCATTTTTGCTAACTATCGTTTGTTCGATCATTATTGATGTTGTTTGCTCAGAAATACAAACATATTTTGGTGCCGCTCATAAATTTTGATGGAATCATGGAAGGATTTATTCAAACCTGAATTAAAAAATAAATAAACAGGATATATGAGTAATAATAATTAAAAAGTAAATCAGGAATGTCTAGAACAGGTAAATGAAATTGTATACTTGGGGAGTGCTTTTAACCGGGATGGAAGATGTGATTTAGATGTGGACAGGCGTGTCGCTGCCGGGAACAAAGCCAATAGTGCCCTAACTGCGTTATAGTCAAAAGGCAAGGCGTAGTGAAGAGTGCACGCCTTGCAATACATAACGCAGTGTTGGTACCGACTTTGTTATATGGCAGCGAAACCTGGGTATGCCAGAAGAAGCATAAAAGCAAGTTGAATGCAGTGGAGATGCGATCTCTTCGTAAAATTTGCGGCGTTACCATGGCCGACCGAAAGCGAAACGAAGAGATTCGCAATATGGCAGGTTTGAAAGATGACCTTATCACAAAAATTGATAAGGGCGTGCTTCGATGGTTTGGGCACGTTGAGCGAATGAGTGAAGACCTAATGGTGAAGAAAATATACAGCGCGAAAGTTAATATTAAAAGGTGTCGAGGTAGACCGAGACTAACTTTCGAAGACCATGTGAGCAAATTGCTCAAAGAGGGGAGGGTCAAGAGTACTCGGATACCTAGACGTGCATGTATGAAGAAGATAATAAATCTGAAAGAAGCGAAGGAGGTATGTAAGGATCGTGTCACTTGGCGACCTGTTCTCTCTGGCTACCCCGTCAGGGATTTTGCGTGAAGATAAGTAAGTATATGAGTAATCTATGATAGCAAGCCATTTTCCGACGGAAAAATTTAATGGATTTAAGACTGATGTTATATTGCTTATTTATACGTTTTATTTAAGCGCCATCTATTGACAGTTGATGAATTTTTCACAGACATAAATAACCACTACTTGTTCCATAGGAAGAGGTATTATAATAGGAAAGACAATATGGTAATGGTATAACAGTTACCTTGAGCACTACAAGAGGACGCGGACTAATTTTGTTGAAATTTTAAATCGCGGTGCGTTTATTTTTTCCAATTTTATTAAAATATTTCAACTAAATGACGATGCATTCTTGTTACGCGTCGCTGTGGTCAATATAATATCAATAGCGATCGAACAAACGATAGTAATCAAAAAAAATATTAATTTTTAAATTAGTAAAACAAAAAACTAAGCTTGGCGTGCTCAGCAGAGAGACAGTATTTCATGCCGGCACATCGCTTGCAACTTTACAAAGCGCAAATCCGGCCTCACATGGAATACTGTTCTCATCTCTGGGCCGGGGCACCCCAGTGTCAGCTCCTTCCACTTGACCGCATCCAGCGCAGAGCGGTTCGATTCATCGACGACCGAGTTATTTCTGATCGGCTCGATAGACTGGCACTTCGTAGGGGTGTTGCATCCCTTTGCATTTTCTATAGAATTTACCACGGGGAGTGCTCTGAGGAATTGTTCGGATTAATTCCAGCCGCCAAATTTCACGAACGCACATCGCGTCAAAATTCTCGATACCATCCTCACCATCTGTATGCTTGGCGGTCCACGACTGCGCGTTTTACTAGGAGTTTTCGTCCTCGGACAACTTCTCTGTGGAATTGTTTACCACCGGCAATTTTTCCGGACCGATACGACTTGGGACCTTCAAGAAAAGAGCTTACACCTTTCTAAAAGGTCGGCAACGCATCTGCAATTCCCCTGGTGTTGCGGTTGTTCATGGGCGGCGGTAGTCACTTACCATCAGGTGAGCCGCATGCTGGTTTGCCCCCTCTTCTATAAAAAATAAAAAAAAATACAAAAAGGGGGGCGAACAAATTATTTTTATGTTCGAACAACAACGAACAAATTACGAACAATTAAATAATTAAAAACAAAAAAGAAACTCAAAAATCTAAAATCCAAGTTTGGCTGGGTTCACTGAGCTTAAATCGCAGTGTGTGGTTATAATTCAAAACAAAGTTTATAAATACGTAATATCAGAAAATATAAATCCATACTGTAGTCCATCCATAGTGTAGTAATATATTCGTCAATGCCAGTACCTAATATAAAATATGGCGTTTACCGAGATGTTTCATCCATTGATTTAAACCACGGAATATAAAAAAGAGGAAGTAGCAAAACGCATAATTTATAGCGAAACCACTGTCGCCAAACTCACCCATGCACAGGAAAGAAATGTGTATCAACAATTGTGTTCCATTTCAATAATTTTCGCGTGATTGGTTATTTAAAAATGAAAGAGAAAGACATTATGTTACTCACCATTCATTTGAGCATGAACAATAACTTCTTAAGAATAGAGATTATATTCCAGGCGTAGGACAGTTGCCTTGAACCACAAAAATTTAATGGATGGTGGCGCCATCCATAACTTGTTTCCAAAAATAATTTGTTTATAGTTGGTCTTATGGCTTCACAGATGTCGCTACTTTGGAAAAATAAAATGAAATTTACTTACAAAATAAAAATAAGTGCACCAAAAAATTATTGGTGATTTTATTGATAAAAAATTATAATTTTAACATAAAAACACGTAATAATTATCGAATCAATCGATAAATATGACAATAGGCTATTTGACAACATTGAAAATATACTATAAATTGTGGTCATCCTATCAGATAATAGGGTAAAAAAATATATTTCACTTTATTTTAACCTAAGATATTTATATTTTATGCAAAATAAACGAAAATAAAACATAATTTTTTTTTAAATTTTATCTGTAACGAGAACGCCCTGTGATTGGTTTCGACTCTGGTGACGTCACACGCGAGTAAACATAGCTGCTTTGAGTGATTGTAGTTCGAGTTCTACGTTTTTGGGTGCTATATTCGATCTTTGAGCTATTTCTGAATTAGTATTTCTGATAAATTTGATAACTAGCGGCATAAATATTCGTTTTGTATCTCAAAATGGAATCAAATTTTGTGCGAGCCGATAACAGCAACTTGCCTAAGATAGACGGATTTATGGTTGCAGATTTCTTTAAGAATAACGCTGATTACTATGCTGCAGAACATAAGAATGTGAAAACAGCAGTGTAAGTACTATGTACGAATTATTTATTTACAAACCTATAAATATGATTGTCATTCAGAAGTTTTGTAATATCTCATTTTAGGTTATGTTGATATAGTTAGAAATTTCTTGTAAATTCTCTTTGTAATGGGCTTTACTTTTGTTTTACAGGTCTGCAAGGGAATCCTATGGAGACGATGCGATTGGCTATGTCCAACTACAACGGGAGCATGGGGTTTGTACAGTTAAGTGTAAAATGTGCCCAGAGCATAAAGTTAGAACCAAACCATATAATGTGACGATGATTATTAATGAAAATGACAGCGAAATTATGAGCTGTCAATGCCACGACTGTGCTGCTTCAGCTGGAGGATGCAAGCATGCAGTTGCTTTTTTGATGTGGGTCCTTCGCCGTTCTGATGAACCTGCATGTACTTCCATAGAGTGCTATTGGAAAAAGCCTACATTGTCCAAAGTAGGGACTACGCTAAAATATATTACTGTGCAGCAGATGTCTAAAAAAGAAGTACCTCACAGACCGAGTTCATCAGCACTTTATACTGAATTTATTTCAGAAGCCAAAAAGAGAAAAATTGATAACTGTGAATTGCTAAAATATCAGCATGATTTTAAGCATAGTAATGTGATGCAGTATTCATTGCACTGTTTAGTAATGGACCAATCTCCAGAAATTAAAGCAGATGTAGACAAGTTTATTGACGTGATGAAAGCAACATTTACTGAAGCTGTGATAAGTACCATTGAAGAAGCAACAAGGAGGCAGAACAAAAGCAGCTTGTGATATGAGATGCGATATGGCCGTATCACAGCTTCAAGGGCACATGAAGTAAGTGTTTGTCATACACCAGATGGTTCATTGGTGGCTTCTATCATGGGGGCAAAAATACCTGATACAGCTGCAATGAGAAGAGGTAGAAATTTAGAACTGTCTGTCCGAAAGACAGTCAGTAATATATTGAAAAGAAAAATCACCCCATGTGGGCTTTATGTGTGCAAAGAGAATCCCATGATTGCGGCATCACCTGATGGTTTAATAAAAGGTGCCGTTATTGAAATAAAATGCCCTAGCAAGGCAAAAGCAAAAGACAGTTATTTGAAAAACGGTGTTATCACAGAAAAATGTAAGGCACAGGTGCATCTGCAAATGTATGCAACAGGGGTAAAAAAGAGCTATTTTTGTGTTGCTGATAGCAACTTTGAAGAAACGAAAAATGTTGACATTATTTTAGTGACATATGATAGTGATTATGTTAATAACTTAATACCAAAGTTAGCTACTTTTTGGCAAACAAATATTTACCCTATTTTGTATGGTACCAGTCTGTGATTGTTGGCGACACGCTTTAATGTTTATTATTTTTCCACTTTTATCCACTCCACATATTTGAATTAATAACAATTTATGTAAAAAGCAAATGTATTTCATATTAAAAAATAATATATGTTAAAAGTAAATAAATTCAATATAATGATAAAAATCCCCGCTTGTCAAAAATGTGTTTATAAATTAACTTAAGTCACGCGTTATGTAGTAATCAGGTATGTAATACGAATAAAAGAATTGCATTGTATAAGACATTTGTTTGAGTGAAAACATGTTATGTTCTTATGATAAGAGATAAGTTACATAATGGCTAAATGAACAGAGATAGCTGTAATATTAGATAGAGATAACTCTAGCCACCTACCGTGATGCTGAGGGTCATGTAGAAATTGGTTGTTCATTTTGTATGGGATTAGAACTGGCATCTCAATAATGTACTAAAATTAAAAAAAAAAATAATTGCATTTAAAGAAACAATTATTTTATGAAAGTTTCAATAACATGTAAATGTATTAAATAAATTAGAGATTTAATTAGTATTGTAATAAATGTTACAGGATTATTGTATAGAATAATAAGATAAGAAATGTGTTAAGTGTTATGGCTAGAATAATATTAATATATAAAAATTATAATACATTAATAATATTAAATAAAAATTATAGTTGAAATAAAGAAGAAGAAGCTTCAGAAGAAGCTTAGAAGCGTCAGTAGCCTAATGGCAGGGCGCGGACCGCGAACTCGTAAGGTCGTGGGTTCGAATCCGCCATTCGATTACTGTCGTGAACCACTTCTAACACAAGCATTTTAAGCTTACCAGAAGTGGTTAAAGGGAATATTAGTAAGGTTTAATAGCATTACTAGTATTTTTTAAAAAAAATAAAGAGTTTTAATACTGCTTAAAAGTTTTAATTTTTGAATTAAACAATTGTATTAAGATATTCATGCTTATTAATAAAGATCATTGTTTTGAATGTGTGTGATAGATATTTAAGATTTATGACTCTAAAAATAGATTGTAAAATTGTTATATTTTGCTAAATATTTGAAAATTTTTATGTTGCCCCGAGTTGCACACCTACTCAGGGGTCAGGGAACCCAACGTCGTGTGGTATTAGGATCTGTGAATAGGACACTAATTGGTTGATCTCTGCCGCAGGACGGGCGATGGAGGCCCGTTTTTCCTTTTCAGTGATAATGATTAAATAGAATAAGAATAGAATAAAATAATTTTTTATTCAATATTGATTATTACATAATACTTATTGAAAGTAATTTTTTATTTACCACTGGTTCGGAAAATACCTCAGTCCTGGGAAGAACCAGCAAGAAACCCAGCGGGACTTTTTTTTTAAACATAATTTCACTTAAAAATAATTTATTTATACAATTTTTAAATGATTTTTCATAGAACCAGCATGGTGGCGATCTCCCTATTCCCAGGGGTTATTTTCATTCATGTATTCCTTGATATTATAATAACCCTTTTTGTACAGTTTTTCTTTAATAAAACTTTTAAACTTGTTTATTGACAAACTTTGAATATGTTCTGGGATTTTGTTGTAAAAGCGTATACATTGCCCCATAAATGAATTACTGATTCTGTGGAGTCTAGTTACTGGCATTACAAGCTTATGTTTGTTCCTAGTATTTAAAGTATGCACATCCTTATTCTTATTAAAGCTATTTATGTTTTTATGCACATACATTACATTCTCATAAATATATTGCGATGCCAAAGTTAATATGCTTATTTCTTTAAATTTTTCTCTGAGGGACTCTTTACAATTTAGGTTATAAATCGCCCGTATGGCTCTCTTTTGCAAAACAAATATAGCTTCAATATCAGCCGATAAAAATCATGATGTATTTCTTGTTTTATTATTTATGATTTCACATTATTTAATAAGAGAATCCTGCAAATTTATTAGAGCACATGCAATAATAATGACATGATCAAGTCCACGACATATGTTAGTATTTATCACTGAATGTTGCTTTAGCATATGGAATTCTCTTACTCGCCTAATTACCCTTTCAATATGAATTCGCAAGCTAGCGATTATTTTAGTTTGTCGAACTTCAGTTTTTGATAACTTTGCACCAGCATTTACACTGGGTGGCCTTAATAGTTTTATGCCCTTTTCATGAAGTATCTGTTCAAGGTGCTTGAAGCCTCTGTCAGCTAAGATGCAAGTTCCCTGTTGTAATCCATCTAGAAAGTTACAGTTCTCTACTATGGTAACATCACTTGCTCTACCCCCAAACCCTTGAGAAACATAATTAACCAAACCATTAGGTGTGCATGATATTAAATACTTCACAGTATTCCCCTTTTTGTACTCTGACCATGTCAGAGCCTGATGAAGAGCCTTTGATGGTTTTTGTATATCAATTTCTAGACAATCGATGATGCAGCTTACATTATGATAGTTATGTCTAAATGCAATAGGAAGATTCCTTTTTATTAAATTTTTGTCTAAGTTTACAATGAATGGTTTTAAAAAACTACTTATTATTGGTAAGTTTCTTAAAAATAATTTACTGGCATAAGATAATGATATACCAAAATTATCCTCGAGTTCAGAAAATGTGCTGTTTAATCTAATTTTTTTCAAGCATAGCAAAATATGTTCTCTATTTATATTTGTGTGTCTATGCAACAACTCAATTAAAAAATAACATTCTTTGGAAATACCAATATACATCAATGGTTTCTTTTCAATTAAACGCAAAGTATTTTTGAGGCACTGTAATTTTTCAATATTCTCATTGGTATCTGTAACATTACTATCAGAGTCAGTAACCTTTACTGATGTAGCTCCAAAAGGTGATAAAAGACCACTTTCAAAACAAGAAATATCACTATCAGATTTTTCATCTACAAGGAAAATATTTCTCTTAACTGCTTTAACAACCTCTGACTGTAATGGTTGAAGATGGCATGGTTTAATATTAATTGGTGAAGTGAAATGAGATATTGTAGAAACTTTCCATGGTGAGGTAGAAATACTTTTATTTTGGCATCTAGTTTGCACAGCCTTGCTCCTAAAATGCGTATTCACTTTTTTTGTTTCTTGAACAGCTTTTTCTACAGTTATGATAGGGTCGGTGATTGTTTCTTTGTCTTGAGTTTTTGGTAATTCTGAAAAGACAAAAAACCAAATTAATTACTTAATTTAAATGTGAATAACATAAACTTAACTCATTTAAATGTGAAAAAATATCTTATGACATTTGTATTATATAGATAACATAACCTTTAGGCTCAATAATTTCTTGTATCATATCATCATTTTGTAAGCTTTCTGTATGGGTTGTAGTACTATGTCTTCGCAGACATTCTGTGACAATATCAATTCTTTGCCTTTTAAAGAAAACTTCTCGAGAAGGTCCAGCATCAGGTAGCCGACTTCTACGATCCTCTTGACAATGAAATTTAGTTGGCACAGCCTCATCTGCCAAAAGTATCTTCTGACTGAAGCCCATTTTGTACTTCAAGTAGTTAATTGTGTCCTTTTCCATCTGTAATTCAACATTATTGCCAATGTAAGGAGTGAAGTATCTATATTATGTTTGACAAGACAATAAACATTACAAGACAGCATAAGAAAATTATTAAGAAAGCTAAATAACATAACAGATAACATATGAAACCCTACAGGGAACCCTGTAGGGTTTGGGTGAAAAGTATCCTTCCAACTTATGCTGTAAGATTAAGCCATATTTGGAGGTTGGGTATTAAAGATGTTATTACTTTATACAAAAACCGATATTAGGCTACCATCTAGTCTAGTATATATTACTTACATTAAAATGATCTTCACACATAAAAACATTGGTATGAGCTAAAATGCTCTTTGGGTCTCTTCGAGCTAATCGTAACCACATTTTTCGTCTTTTGGGATTCGTTGGAACAGAAACAAACAGTTTGTGTGGACTACTTATAGTCGTATTAGTACATTGTGGCACTACACACCATTTATACACCATTTTATCGAATAAATTTGAAGAAAAATAATAAAATTCACTTCAGCTGCACTGTTTTATTAGGGTTATTGACCTTTTTACTTGTGTGTGACGTCACATGGAATATGACCAGCGCCATTACAGAATAAGCGTTTTTGCCGCGGTTTTGGAAATTTAAACTTTAACTTTGATTTTTATTGTTAATACAGTAGATCTCTCGGAAATATCAATGTAGTATGCTTATTACATAATAAAGAATCATTTAAAATGGTTTTCCAAAATTAGTCAAATAGCCTATTATGATACTGGCAACCAGCATTTTATAATAAAAAATAAAAATAAACAATGAAATAATTGTCATAATAAATTGTCATTCCTGTAACATCGCAAATACCCTTTTTATATATTATTATCTCACAAATACAAGTGTACTTATTGAAACTATTTACCTACTTTTAATATTAAAAGTATAAATTATTTTACAAAAAAAAGTAAAAATTGTTTCAGTAAGTATGCGAATTAAAGTACATAATAGTTACATTAATATGATGTACATAATATAGCTATATATAGCAAATTAGTTCGGATTCAATTTGTAGGAGACGCTAGTAGTTCAATTTTGTCTGCAATAAAATATCGTCAGAGGGCTCTCTTTTCCTGTATATACTTATTATACTCTTTGTTATATTCCTTTTCATCAACGAAGTTTTATAATTAATGAGCAAACTTAGCTTCTTAACGTTAGATATCGCAATAATAAATTCACGCTATTAGAGACATAATGACAATAGGTATAACGTTGACATTGCCCTACCCATGCCCTAACTAAACTGTACTGCCACGCGAATGATGTTAGTGATGTAGTTACTCTGCCTGAACATGATCTGGCTTATATCGACTATTATTATCATGTATATGAATTGACTGAAGAAACTAAATTGAAAAAAACAACAATATATGATGAAATGAGTAAAATAGCAAAATTTAATAGAAATTGCCATAATGTACCACGTATATCCCAGTAATTCATATAGACGGCATATAATTAATTGTATTTAATGAAAATTTATTTACAATAAGCTAAATTATCATTTTTGAAATGGAAACAAGGAGAATAATAAAAAACAATAATTTAGCAATTGTTTATTGTCATTGAAATAACACATATGTGTTTAAAAATTATCGTGTTCACACTTTAATATAAAATTTTAGATGATAATGAATTCGGTTACCAATGTAGATCATGATATTAAGATCACTTTTATTTCAGCTTTTTTTCAAGTCATGAGTACTACTAAACTACTTACTTATTTCTCTGGCTCAGCAACCCTAACAAATGTTCATTCGTAGGCTTCACCCTACAATTTCGTATCTTTTCAAAGACATCCAGCATTTGCAAATTTCCCTTTCCCTTGCCCATCCCTAAAACAGAACATGTTTGACTCGTATAACAATAAAATAAGGGTGCCTAACGGTTCTCATATGGGTTTCAGATTCAATCCTGTTATTTTTTTTTATTTATTCTTACAGAGTGTACATTCTACAATTTTTTAATTTTGTCAAAATATAAGTCTGTTTGTCGGCAAATTCTTATATGTACTTGTATAAATGCTTACATTATTACATTAAATTCGTCCCTTTTTTATATTTTTTGTCATAGGCCAACATGGAACACAATTTGTTTCTATAATTTTCTTATAAAAGCACCATCTATAGTTTTTATAGAAGCTTTTCTTATCATAAACTTGGTTCATATAACTTGGTTACTTCATTTACCGATAGAGGTCACCGCGTAACTTTACGAAAATTTTGGATCGCGATGTTGAGTTTCTTTCGGTTTGAATCACTTCTGCAGTACGATATATCGAAATCATACTTACCTGGCGTAGGGGATACCGTGATCAGGAAGGCGGTTCCCCCAGGGCGAGGCCTTTCCATTGCACTGCGGTTAGGTTGACCCCTGCGATTATCCCTAATGTGGATAACTCGGACGCGTAATTTTTGGTAGTGGGGACTGCGTACGCGCCGTCCCCTTCATAAAAACAATTTACCATTCGCAGGTCGAATTCTTATCTTAACCATGACTAACTAATATGGTGTCTAGAGAACCTGGACCATGCAATGCATTCAGAGTACTACCTTTATAAAAACCGAAATGAATGAATGCAACTAGTCATGGGTTACTCATCTATTTTATTTGCGGATGAGGGAGTACCTCATTTTACCTAGCGAGGTACTCACGAGATACCCCTCATTTGAGGTGAGGAGTCACTAGTCGGTGTATTCATCTCACAAGGCG